GATGGACTCAAATAGAGACCAGACACCTGCAGGAGGTGCGGTGGGCATCCAGTAGGTAACTACCATTATATTCTCTACTCTCCTTGTTTACAATATTAGCCCTCCGGTGCACGCGTAGTCTAAGGGTAGATTGTGCCGCGGTAACCGAACCCCGTTTTGTATTGCTCCAAAAAAATCTTTGCAACGCAATACTAGAATTGAATGACTTTATTATGTACTTAATACGAGTAATACAATTTAGTAAAGATATCATTAACAATAAAAAGTAACAAAATCGAGACTGGAGAATTATTTTTGGCATTAACTCAACGTTTATGTACAAATTTTATGTGTAATAAAAATTAAATAAATAAAATTTAATAATACGATGCTATAACACAAAACGCTAACAAGTTTAGTGCTTCTATAAAAGATTTTACGCTATCGTATATCTAGATAGTTAACTGCATCGTGTTTTGAATTAGTGGTCATTGTATTTTGTATTAAAAAACATCTCTCTTTCGAACTACATCAGTACAGAACATAGATATTTACAGAAGCTACACTTAAGTTCTATTTCATCATTAGAGGCGAAATTTATATGATTTATCTCGACAATCATGACGCAAATTATACCATTTTTTAATCAAGATTGTTTTTTAATACAGCTATCAAATTCCTCTTCCAAATATTAAATAAAACTGTTTGTGTAATTGATTTTCGCCTCCGTAAGGAACACTATATGTGTAGTGTAACCAACATCAATAGCTTAACGTATCTATTGAAGCATGAAGGTGCTCTAGAATCTATAATAACGGCCAACTCGCGCATTCATCTATCAGTTCACCGTATAAACATTTGAAGCTAATCACTGAACCTGTTTTATAACTATGCAAGCGCATTGTCTCTTCTTATTTCATGTTATGTGGTCTTAGCAACAACTCAGAAGTCACGTGTACTTTTGTGTCTGTTATTAATGAATTACCCATGAAAATGCCAATTTTATATTACGATCTATTATTCGGAATACTGAATGAAATTAAATTTAATAAAGCCATTAAAGACAGGAAAAGTTTATAAATATTAATTTGTTTTATAACATCGCTGTAGAAAATAAACGATCCCAACGGAAATTCTAATCGTTCATCAGTTTTCATGTAACAGAATTAAACACATCCCCGTAATGTCGGTAACGAATGTTATTATGCGTCAGAATAGAACAGACGAGTGGACGAATGCCAGATGAAACGGCTTTGTAAACCTCGTAATGTATGACCGAAATTCCAACCGAAGCGGTAACAACAATGGTTTTAATGTGAACACTGCGCCAGAAGAACAATTAAAAATGTTAAAACATTGAAGTGTATCAAAATTAAAATAACAATACTACTTTATGTTGAAACAGAAACTGAAAAACTGAACGAATTATTTAAGTACTAGCTTTCGCCCGCGACTATGTCCACGTAGAATTTAAATAAGTGAGTAGTTTATGGTGTTCTTTCAGACAACCCGCTACATCTATATACCAAATTTCATAGAAATTCGTTTAACCGTTTAGGCTATAAACTCTAACAAACATCCATCTAAACATTTGCATTTGTAATATTAGTTTGATTATTATAATTTACAGACAATTTTATATCACCGAATAGTCACATTTGAAAGTTGAAGTGTATAAAAATTGCTTGAATTATAAGATAACCATATAATAACACAAACTTAATAAGAAAAGAAATGAGTAAAGATTAAGGGCAAAGGAAAAGAAATAGTCAGACGATAGGGGCGATATCAAGGAATGCCACATGTGCATTGGCACGGGAAAATGATTAGGGTTAAACCCTTCGCCTGTTACAGAAATAAATATAACCATTGTAATTAAAGACAGCGTTTCTTTCCGTGTCTTTGTTCTCTGTTGCTATATACATAAACTATAGATGGAGTGTTTACATAGGTTTTATACTGATCTAGTGTCGTTATTTGAAATTAAATTTTGTATTGTAAATCACAATACCGAGGAAATTTATCCGGCATATAGAGTTACATAGAGTTATGGTAATAGTGGTACGGTGACCATTCGAAGAGAATCTCTAGTCTTAGGGCCTGTCCCACCACTGGCTGATAAAGGCTTAGCTTAAAAATTACGTCACAGTCACATAAGGAAACAAAATCCGACATTTCCATCACATATTTTACACGTTGTATTGTTATCAGACAATTTACAATTTGATGGGACAGGCCCTAAGCCTCTTAAAATCATTTTTTTTATATATAAACCTTTGTCGAGGTGTTTTTTTTTTTACGAAGCGGTCATTAGCTATCGAACACCTGTACCAAATTTATTTCCCTTAATACCTTAACGGCGGTGTCTAATCCAATCGTAAATCTAAAATATTAGTACTAAAAACGGTCTCCAATTTATTGGTCTTCGGTATTCAAGAAAAGTATACAAAGCCAACATCATAAATTGTTGAATGGTTGAATACATACAAATGAAATGTTTTGAAAAGCTATTTGATTCAATACCATTTGCCAAGCTACCAAATCAATTCATTCAACATTTACACAATACTATTGGTTGAGAAATCAAAAGAAATAATTACAAATACATGGCTTCGTAGCCACCTCGAGCAATTTGTAGGCGATCGTATCGACATTCAATCAAAAAGTCTTATACTTTGTTATTTTGCATTGTGTGAATGAAATGTTACATCGGCAAGGGAGCTAAAAACAATTTGAATTTTAAATTCATACAACCTACTTAGTCTTCTCAACGAGCATTCCCTAATCATACTAATATTATAAATGCGAAAGTCTAGATGGATGGTCTAGATGGTTTGTAAGAGTTTGAAGCCTAAACGACTATACGGATTTATATGAAATTTGGTATAGATGTAGAGGATAGTCTGGAAGAACACATAGGATACTCACTTTAGTTTTTTTTAATTCCACACGAACGGAATCGCGGGCGAAAGATAGTAATAATATAATTATAATCTTGTTCGTATAATTCAAAATAATACTATTAAACTAGCTTTATAACACAATATAGTCCACAACGTGCGTAAACTTTATGCCACACGAAAATGACCTTTTTAATTGAGATGGACCAGCACTCTAAAATTACTCTAGAACATAACGATTTTATGACGCTTGTTTTCTGTCACCAGATGGGGACTCTGTCAACGGAATACGTCATATTTTCGAGTGTAATGAGAACAAAATTTATCCCTATTTTTTTTTCTTAGCCATTTTATTGTTTAATTTCTTTGTTTGTGAATTTTTTACCCTCCAATTTAGTATTAAGTTCCATAAATCAGAAGATAATAGAATATTTACTATCGTAAGTTAATTCTATTAAACTCATTGTTATGTAGAATAAATTAGTTAGATATTAAAAAAAAATACCAGACCTAACCCTAAATCCAGGCGATCCTTAATAATGTTTGTAATTGAATATTTGATGTCACGGATGCAGTAATTGCATTTGATAAACTAATCACTACATTTTTTAAAATACGTATTAAGACATTTATTTTCCTCTGCTCACACCCACTAGCTGCCAGTGAATAAATATAATTGTTTCCTGTCGTTTCTCTGAATATTTATAAATAGGTTGCACATTAAAAATTGTGATCCACAAGCGTATGACGATTTATTTCTGTTTTTAAAATAGTTGTTAATCTTTGCCAATAAAGGCTATCATTTTAATAGTGTCAGAGAGTATAACTGTTTACAATATCTATAAAGGTGCTTCATTATTAAAAATAAAAATATAAACAACACGTATTTTCCAGCATGCTCATCGCTTTGGCAAGCTTCTTGAATTTTATTCGAGTGAACTGTATCGGAATGATCGTACACTCGTCTGCTCGAAAACAAAAGACAAAACAAATTTGAATTACCATATCCATTCATTCGCCTCTCATCCCAGTCAGCGAGCGCTCAGTCATCCCGATCTGGTCTTTTTTTTACTTTCTTAATGATATTTCAATAGAGGAAAGTACGCCCTTGATATACATGTTTAGTACAAATATAAATGCTGCATAAAAGTTAAATTAATGGTTATTACATTATTCATCGCCAAAATGTTATTTTCCTCCTTTCAACTTTTTCAAAATCAAGATAGCACTTTAAAACAAAATAAGAAATCCAATTAATTTGTATCAAATATTGCGATTAATAAACAATACACGAAAAGCATATAAAAAAATGAAAACTATCTTTTTTTTTGCTTAAAGAGATATTTCCCGAAATATTACTCTATTACCTAAAATCAAATATTCTATGAAATATGTAAACGCGTTAGTAATTCTCTAACGTTCTATCGTCTCTATAGGGAATTGCCTTCACGTAGGAACGTAAAATGCGGTCTTCTACAAAAAATGTACCTCCATTAAGTTTGTGAAGGTTGATGTAAGAAAATAAAACTTTAACCGCAACACAGCGACATTTTCTTTAATTTATTTCATCTGTTTTGTTACTGATTGCGTGAAATAAAAACTAAGTAACATAGTTAGATTTAAGTCATTAACTCAAAGTCAGATTTTAAGTGGTATCTGGAGACTTTTCAGAGATTAGAAAATATTACAAAGACTAGCTTTTGCCCGCATGGAATCAATGAAAACTAAAAAAAATAAAAAAAAACATACAGACGAATTGAGTACCTCCTTCTTTTGGGAAGTCGGTCAAAAAGTAAGTATCCTATGTGTTCTTCCTGACTATCATCTACATCTATACTAAATTTCATTGAAATCTGTTCAGCCGTTTAGGCTACAAACTCTAACAAACATCCAATCTAACCATTTATCAAAATTTTCCCATTTATAATATTAGTATGATAGTTTTTCTGTCACGCGATCCTCAAGCAAAGAAGTTGGTGTTTGTATTTCGTCTTGATTTTTTACATAGCGTTGCCGATTCTATCTTCATATTCAACTTGCCCTTATCCCTTATTGAGGGTCAGCACAATATGTGCTGCACTTCCATAATTCTATCAGCCGTTATATCTGAATCCACTCCCTTCTTAAGCATATCCTCTTTCACACAATCCATCCATACTTTCTTCGGTCTTCCTCTTCCTTCTTCTT